GAGAGGAGAGGAGAGGAGAGGAGAGGAGAGGAGAGGAGAGGCATTTGGGTGCACAGGGATGAGGAGATGCTGCAGCTTCTGCCAGTGACTCACTGGAGCTCTCTCAGGCTGTGCTGGTGACCCAGCTTTGGCAGTGATGGAAGAGGAGGTGGCATTTGGGGCAAAAATATGAGAGGGAAGAGGACTGTGAGGCCTATTTGTAGAACAATATTAAAGATTCTTTAGCTGGTAATTCAGATTATTGAGGTGTCAGGATGGCAGTGACAGGCTCCCTCTCTGAATTGATTGTCCCAAGTCATTCCTAAGGATCTTCATCAGATGCTAAAATCTTTCCCAGAACCCAAAAGCTGCTGTGTATGCACCTAAACACTGAATGTGGAAAAGGCACAATGCTCATTTTTTAAATACATCAGCCAGTCAAGAATCATCATCACGAGAGTGCTGGGAACATTTCTTGCAGTCCTGGGTGCTGCAGTGATATTTTGAGACCTGCCTTGAGGCAGAGAGCAGCAGCTCACACACCTCTCAGGCTAAAAATTCTGCCCAAAACTCTCAATAAATGTACAAATGTTATCACTGGCTTCTGAATGGATTAGCACCCAGATGGTTCAGAATTATATTTGTCCTGAATGCATCTTTTCTACATCTCATGAATAAATCTGTGAAGTAGACGCAGCGTTTGCATCCCTGAGAACAAAGCGTGTCCTACAGCCATTCCAGGAGTTGTGTGTTAGGTTTTGGGGATGAGGAACAGCCTTCCTATGCATCCCCTAACAGAAAATGCACTCATGTAGTGCAAAACTGATTGAGTTTCATTTAAAAGCTGAGTTTTGTTCAGAACCAAAGGTAAAAAAAGGGATTCAGCTTCCAGCTGTGTTGATTTGTTTGTTGGTCACAACTGGATTTAGAAGGAATGGTTTGGAGTGGTTTTGGGATTCAGAAACCAGCCTCTAAATCCCTGTTTGTAATTTTTTTATTTATTACACCTATTGTGTTGTAATCCTCTCTTGTAGTGCTTACACGTGGTTTATTCTGACTCCTGAAGTCATTAAAAATGAGAGTAAAACTGATGTGTGTGAACTAACACGGGAGGAAGCTGCTATGTTAAACAGAATGAGAGGAAAGCTTTGATAGGTCTAAGGCAAGATTTGAATTTAGTTATGTATTTTTAGCAGCCAAACTTGTATAACTTGAGATTAGACAAGATTTCAAGTCCAGAAATTGTTCCCTGCTGCACTTCTTTGTGGCTGTAATAGCATTTTAGCAAATTGAAACTATTTTTGTGGGTTTTTCCTTTTCTTCTTGTTTGAAACAGGGCAAGCCTGATTTGAACACAGCCCTGCCTGTGAGACAGACAGCCTCTATCTTCAAACAGCCTGTCACAAAGATCACAAACCACCCCAGCAACAAGGTGAAGAGTGACCCCCAGAAAGCTGTGGACCAGCCCAGGCAGGTGAGGCTGAGAAACTCCTGGATTTGCTACTGGGAGGATTCCAAAATAATCCACTTTAATGTTGTGATGCTGAACAAATACTCCCTGGCAATTCCTGATCTCTGACACTTCAGAATTCAGAAAAATCTGATGTTTGAGAAGCAGTGGGTTGCAGAGCTTCTAGCTCTTAAAATCAGAACAAATCTCATTCCCAATCTCTAGTTATGGACTCTGTGCACTGGGTTTCACAAACTCCAGCCTTTGGTTAGATCACAATTCTGGTGTTGCTAAACCTGAATTTCCATAATTAAATACTAGCTACAAAATAATTCAGACATTGTAACCAGTTCAGAGGACACTTATGTTTAGAATCACTGTCAAATATTGCAATTGTGTAAGAATTCCATGCTCCATTAAATCCTGCATGGATCACATCCAGTGTGATGTTTGTAGTGCAAGAAACTGTACATCAGTAGAAGTCAACTCTGCCAGTATAAGATCATAAATTCGTGTAGAATGTTACTATTAATGCAAAACCAAAGTGTTTTTCTTATCATAATGTGTATTTGCAAGCAAGAGAACACACAAAAATTAAAGGAAAGGATGCTCAGGACAAGGGAAGGACCTGTATGAGCTGTACCTGTTGGAACACTGAAAACCTTTTTGAAAACTTCAAAAAAGACATTTTGAGGGCGGTTTTTAAGAATTTCATAAACTCACTTCAACTAGAACCTCCAGATATGAGATAGAGCTCTGAAATGGGTGGGATTTTTGGTGTTTGGGATGGATTTTTTCTGGTTTTTTAGCAGGTTGGCAGGGTCTTACCATGGTTCTCTGGGGAAGTAGAATCCTGTATGTTCACTGTGGTGTTGCTATTCCTGCAGTTTTTATAGTTAAGGCTATAAAAGAGAACACTAAAGATAAAATGCCCTCTCCCAGTTCCAAGCTGGATTTTTGTTCCTGTTAAAAATATTCGACTGGACTGCAGAATATTTCAACTTTTGCTCAGCAGACTCCAGATGTTTCTGCAAAATTTGAAAGCCCATCCAGTGCCACCCCCTGCTATGGGTAGAGACACCTTGCACTAGCCCAGGTTGCTCCAAGCCCCATCCAACCTGGCCTTGGACAATTCCAGGACTGGGGCAGCCACAGCTGCTCCGGGTAACAAAAAAAAAAAAAAAAAGCCAAAACAAATCACCTATTTGAAAGTCTAAAGAGTATCCAGCCTGTGTTTGGGCTGTGAGTGCCCTCATTCCCCTTTTTGGAAAAGTCATGGGGGGTCAGTTGCACTTGGATTTTGACAGGCAGGAAAAAGGGGTGGGATATGCATGGTTCTGTTAGAGGTGAATTCTTGCTTTCTCAAAACCTCGATAAAAATGTGGTTATTTGCAAGATAGTTGATCCTCCAGCTATGCATTGCTATCTTCCTGATATCCCTCCTGTACCAGCATTAAAGTGTTTGACTTTTTACCACACCAGATATTCAGGTGCTTTTAAGCCCGGGGAGAGCCTGTGACTCAAAATCTGGTAAAGGACCAGACATGGAGAAAAGGACCAAACTGCTGGACAGGAAGAAAATAATACTTTAGCTTGAATATAGTTCTTGTATTCTTTAACTTCCTATGGGGTATGTAGGAGAGAAATAGGGTGTAAAAAAGGCTGTCTCACACTGTGGGCTTGTAGCTGAAAGTCAGCAAGCCTGGCCTTGCTGCTGCAGCTCAGAGCAGTGAAAAAGTACCTGGCCCTGGAAGGAAAGAGAGTTTTCCAGGGCAGCAAATTGGGAGAGAGGAGTTGTGGGGCTGGTTGACAATGAGGATTATTCCTGCTGCTGGAGGTGGCAGATCCCTTCTCTGTAAATGCACATTAAACTGTCCCCAGACTGCTGTTCCCTCTCTGCACAGGAAAGCAGGGATTTTGTGCACTTGTCAGTTCCATTTCTGGTTGTGCCCATAACCACCAATAACCACCTGCTTTGACTGCAGCTCTTTTGGGAGAAGAAGTTGAGTGGACTGAATGCCTTTGACATTGCAGAGGAGCTGGTGAAGACAATGGACCTTCCCAAAGGGTTGCAAGGTAATCAGAGGGTGCCCTTCACTCAGGGCTGGCATTTTGGCCCTGGCAGCAGTGAATGAAGGGGCTGAATGTGAGCTCCCTGTTCCCAGGGCCTGGCAGGGCCGTGGCCATTCCTGCTGCTGCAGGAGCCGTAGAGCTTTGCCTGGGGGTCCCAGTGCCCTTTGTTCTGAGGAGACACTGAAGCAAAGCTTCTCAGCCTTTTGGGTGATTGATTTTCCAGAAACAGCAGAGCATCCCAGAATGCTGTTTGTGTTTGGGTTGGAAGGGACCTTAAAGCTCATCTCATTCCACCCCTGCCATGGCAGGGACACCTTCCACTGTCCCAGGCTGCTCCAAGCCCAATGTCCAGCCTGGCCTGGGACACTGCCAGGGATCCAGGGGCAGCCACAGCTGCTCTGGGCACCCTGTGCCAGCCCTGCCCACCCTCACAGCCAGGAATTTCTTCCAATTATCCCATCCAGCCCGGCCCACTGGCAGTGGGAAGCTATTCCCTGTGTGCTGTCCCTCAGCTGTCCCTCTTGTCCAAAGTCCCCTTCCAGCTCTCTTGGAGCCCCTTTAGGCTCTGCAAGGGACTCTGAGGTCTCCTTTGAGCCTTGTCTTCTCCAGGTGAACAGCCCCAGCTCTCCCAGCCTTCGTCAAGCTGAATAGAACCATCTTCCCTTGCCAGTTTGGTGGTTTTTTTACTGTCTTTTTGCTTGTAACAAAATGAGGAACTGCTCTAAGTTTAAATACCCTCGGAGAGCTGCACAGGTGCTGTTAGAAGCATTTAGGTCTGAGATTTATGTCATGTGAGCTTTCAAACTGACAGCCTGTGCTTTGCCATTAAAATTTAATTCCCATTGTCCTGATTTCCTGCTCCCTGCCTGGGGCAGTGCTGGTTATGGATTTCCCTCCCCATTGCAGGGGTTGGTCCGGGCTGCACGGACGAGACTCTGCTCTCTGCCATCGCCAGTGCCCTGCACACCAGCACCATGCCCATCACTGGCCAGCTCTCTGCAGCCGTGGAGAAGAACCCTGGGGTCTGGCTGAACACCTCCCAGCCTCTCTGCAAAGCCTTCATGGTGACAGATGAAGATATCAGGTGTGAGCTGGAAATAGCACTTGCTGTCCTGGAACAGGGTTCCTTGTGCTCAGACAGTGCTTTACTTTCTGAACGTCTGATGGAGAACTGTGGCTTGGGAATTCATTTGAATGGCTCTCTAGCAATAGAGTAGGCAAGAGTAGTTCCATTAAGCTCTGTCATGTGCTTAAAGCACACTATTTTTTATTTTGGCTGTGCACAGTTACTCTGGAGTTTCAGGCTCATGTTTGTTTTTCATGTCAAGTTTCCTTTTTTTACAAAATTGTCTGAGTTGGGGGAACCTTGACTGAGGCACCTCTGATCAGAAATGGATTGGAGAAATCCAAAACAGTGGCATTGGATTCTCTTTGCCTTCCTCTGTCTCAGTAAATGAATTAAATAAGATTTATGGATTGACCAAATCCAAGGCATGCCTGCTGTGGTGACAGAGAACAAAGATGCAGTTTATTCTGCTATAGGTTATTTAGTAATGAAATATAGTTAAATCAGGATTGGTCAAACTCAGCTTTAAGCTTTTGATGAAGAACTGAATATACCAAAGGCCTGCAGCATGCAATTTGCATTCATTAAGTGTTTAAAAGCAGTCCTTGCTTTGACTTCTTGATAAATCTTTTGGAATTGCAGGATGACATTTCTGGGCTTGACTGAGACATAAATGACCAGGAAAAACAGTTTGTTTGTAACTTTGATGTCCTGTGGCTGAGCTGAAATAGGGGCCCCATGAGCCACTGCTTGTTGATCACTTCTTTGCTGTGTCTTTGACTTCTTAGGGTTGGGACTCAAAAGGAAAATGAGCAGAAATAAGTGGCCTGAAACTTCATTTTCTCCAATCTTATTTTTGCAGGTCTGTGCAGGGTAGGCTGACTTGTTATATATTAGTGGTAAGAGTTAAAAATTAGCATTAGGCTAAAAAAAAATCAACTGCTAAAATAGCCAAATTTCAGCCAGATATCAACAGGTGCAGGATTCATAATATAAATACTGGACAAATTTTTAAAGTGTTTTTCATTTTTACTTATGTTACAATGCCAAGTGGGGTTTTTTGGGCTTGCTTGATATTTTTTTTTTGCCATACAATGGAGCTGTTAGAGAGCTTTTCCAGTTCATGCTTGTCTCATGTTGGAGGGATTGGAGACTTTTCCCTTGACAGGGGCAGCACGGGGGGCTGATGTTGGGTGTCCCTTGTGTTGGGCAGGAAGCAGGAGGAGCTGGTGCAGCAGGTGAGGAAGAGGCTGGAGGAGGCCCTGATGGCTGACATGCTGGCCCACGTGGAGGAGATCGCCAGGGATGGGGAGCCTCCCTCGGAGAAAGAAGGAGCAGAGGAGGAAGGAGAAGAGGAAGAGGAGGAGGAGGAGCAGGACCATGACCAGGAGATGGAAAATGTATAGTCCAGGTAAGGTGATAGTGCTGTGTCTCACCTCAAACATTGGGGACAGGAAGGTTCTTCAGGAGGAATCCTAAATATTGATGGATCTTTGGTTTCAAAGCCTGTGCTTTGAAAGGTGTGCTGGCCTTGAGTCAGGAATGGGGGAGGTGGGCATGAGACCCCAGCCCTGGGGAACAGCAGCAGGAGGACGTGGAGCTGCTGGAGCCAGCCCAGAGGAACCACGGAGATGCTCCAAGGGCTGGAGCCCCTCTGCTCTGGGGACAGGCTGGGAGAGCTGGGGGTGCTCACCTGGAGAGGAGAAGGATCCAGGGAGAGCTGAGAGCTCCTTGCAGGGCCTAAAGGGGCTCCAGGAGAGCTGGAGAGGGACTGGGGACAAGGGATGGAGGGACAGGACACAGGGAATGGCTTCCACTGCCAGAGGACACGGCTGGATGGGGTATTGGGCAGGAATTGTTCCCTGGGAGGGTGAGCAGGCCCTGGCACAGGGTGCCCAGAGCTCCTGGATCCCTGGGAGTGTCCAAGGCTGGGTTGGATGGGGCTGGGGAAGGCTCTGGAGCACCAGGAGTGGCTGGGGGAACTCAGCCTGGAGAAAAGGAGGCTCAGGGTTCAGCCCCAGTTGTCTCAGCCTGTCTCCATAGGAAAGGTTCTCCAGCCCTAAGATCAACTTAGTGGCCTCCTCTAGAGCCTCTGAGATAAGAATCTCAGAGTGGGAGGAAAATGGGACGTTTTAGAATGAATAGCAGAAGAGCTCCTTTGGAGGGAATGGGGATTTCAGGTAGGGGGAAGATTGATTTTGTTAAGCAATCCTTGAAGCTTGAGGATTGATTATCATGTGCAATCTGCTTGGCCTTGGGACATCCCATCATTTATCTAGGCTCTTTTTCCTCATTTTCCTGTGTCACCAACAGTAGCTTTATTAGGGGAGTGAATACCTTGAATTTCCTTCTGCTAGAGAAGTCTGGCAACAGGCAGGAGCCAGAACAAACTGACTACTGCAGGTGAAATCCAGCAGATAAAGACATGCATGTGTTGTGACAGTGGGATTTCTCCTTTTAAGAAAAGATACACATTTTCTTTTTGACTTACAAGGTGTTGTTTTGTTTTTTTCCCTCTTTCAGGGAGTTCCATCTAAGAATTCCCAGTATAAACCCATTCAGCAGGGTCAGCACAACCATTCACAGAGCCAAGAGTGCACCACCAGTCCAACTGTACCCCAGAGCCTTTGGATGGACTTCAGGAAATGTGGAAGCTGATGCTTCATTCATTGCTGGGGAGTTTTGCAGATGGAACTTGACTAAACTCTACTCTCCTTCCTTTTTCTAACAGGATAGGGTGATTGGGAATGCAGAAGTGGGAGGGGATAAAGGAATATCATATGGTGGGAGGGAAAATCCTAGGAACTGAATTTGCTGGCTTTTTTTTTTTTTTTTTTGGTATTACTTTTTGTGGGTCGGTGCTGGGTGATACATTTTTAAGCTTTTCTATCAAAGTACTTTTAATGACCCACAGAAACAATTTTTTCTCTAACCCAAGGGAGGGAGATGCTGTTTCACTCCTTGGCTCCTCTGCTGTGGGCTACCTGTTTGTACCTGAGTGTAGGGAGGTCATTTCATGTTGTGAATGGTTCATTCCATGTGTGAATTGCAGTTACTGAGTTGCCATTTCCTCACAAGACCACATTGGTCTTGGCAGGGCAGTCTCAGAGCTGAGCTGCCACTGCCTCTCCCACCTGAGCTGGGGTGAGGAGGGGAAGCTGCACTTGGGGACTTGGGCTGCCAGTTCTGGGAATTGGGGATTTGGGTTATTCCACACCACTGTTTGGATACAGAAATCTGTGTGTCCAGACATTCTGAACAGAGTCCTGGAGGCAAATATACCCAGCCTGAGGTATATTTTACTTTGGTTTAAGTCCAGTCAGAAGGACTTTCTCAACTGGGGATGGAAGGATGACTCATTTCTGACTGATAATGAGGAAAACTTCCTCCTTTTTCTCTTCTGGTGCCAAGAACCTGCCCTCTGTTCCTCAGTGTGGAGGGAAGGGGATCCATTCCAACAGGTGTGACTACACACCTGCTTTTGTGTGCAGTAATGTTCTGACCTCTTTAAAAAAAAAAAAAAAAAAAGAAAAGGTTGATTTTTCTATAATTGATATCTAAAAAAGGAATTTAAAGCTTTTTATTAAGTATTGAATCTTTCTTATTTGCATGTGCAGTGAAGTGACCAGCATTTTGTGTCAAAAATTGGACTGATGTGAAACCTGCCTTAATGTGTTTCTAAGTATTCAGCTTCACCATGGGTACCTTGATTGATTCCTCAGTCTCATCCAGTACAGCTTTGAGCATATTGGTGTAACTTGTGGCTAAAAATGGATATCTCTGGGAAGGGAGACAAGGGGAGGAGAGGAAGATGAGAGTTGATAGCTTGGGGAATGTGTTGACTGGGTTGCAAAAATGATTTTCATCTTAGGGTATCCATTGCATAATCTGTGCGTGGCCGTCTCGGCTGAGAGAACACTACAAAGTGGTGGGTTAAATGTTGTGCCACCAACCAATTGTATAAGTTGTTGGTATCCCAAAACTTGGGGAAGAAAGTAGCTCCCAGAGCCTTTATTGTGTGAGAAAGATTAGCAGGGACAGCCAGGGGCCAGGGAATTGCCTTTGGGAGTAGTGCAGCTTAGTGATCCCTGAAAATATCCCATGCCAAAGTGATTGATCCTTTATTCACGCTTTTCTTAAAGGCTTGAAAACACAAAATTGGTTGATACTGCTCATTTGAGTACTGCAAGGAGGCTGAATTGTACTTTGCTGCTGCTCTGCCAGGTGCTGCTTTGGGAGCTTTACCTGGCACTGCAGGCAGTGACCATTATTTTTCTTTCTGAACAGTCTGTTACAGTTACTACTCTGTAAATCTGTCCTCTTGTAAGTCACAGTGTTGAATTAAATGTTTCTCACAAAAAAGAGATTCTCCTAGTCTGCCTCAAGCCCTTACCTGGAGTTTTGTGCTCTGTCCTTCCCACTTCTCCCAGTGGAGATGCTCTGGGGGTTCTCTTGTGGGCAGAACACTCTGAGATTTGGATCTGGACATCTTGGGCCTGCAGAGGGGAATGTGGAGGGAAACTCATGGAAAGCACTTCATTCTTGCTGCAGAATCCTCTCCTGTGTCCTCCCCAAGGGAGAGGCTGCCAGGGTGTCCCATCTCTTGGGCAGGTTGGTGATAGAGAATCACAGAATTGGTAAAGTGGGAAAAGATCTTTAAGATACTAAAGTCCAACTATCAGCCCAGCAGCACCACATTCACCACCAAACTATGTCCCCAAGTGCCACCTCCACACTGCTTTTGAACACTCCCAGCAATGATGGCTCCACCACTAACTTGGGCAGCCTGTGCCAGGGCTGGACAACATATTCCATGAAAAGAAAACCAAATTAAAAAATCCCTAATATCCAGTCTAAACCTCTCCTGGCTCAACTTGAGTCTGTTCTCATATGGCCTTTGGATCTCAACTCCAGCAGTTCATATCCCACACCAGAAGTGTCCTTGTGACCAAAGCAGTCTTACTCTGACACTTCTTGAGAACTTGTTTAATTTCTGGTGATGTCTTTATCTACTTTTACTTGAACCTAAACATACCATTGAGAGACCATAACACAGGTGATTGAGATGTTGATACTTCTATTTTGAAGCCCTGAATATCAGGTTTAAATTGCTGCCAACTCTCTTGTTCCCTACCCCCTGCTTTCCCAGTTCAGCTCTTTCCTTCTGTTCACAAAGTTTATTATGTTTTCATTGATATGGAGGAATTGCTTGTGCAAAGTGCCAAAAGGGACCCAGGACTCCTCTCACAGCCAAAGAAAGTGAAATAACTTTACCTACTTACCAAGGTAAGGAAATCAACTTCCATTTCACTGCCCATGATGTCTTTTTCATGTTGCTGCAGTAACAACTGGATTAGTTTGTCTTACCTCAGTCCTGGATGTGACTGATGGGCATAAAGTGTCTGCCATCATCAAATCTGTCCCCAGGGTGGAGAAAGCAGCTTGTTTGAGGTATAACTTGTTAAGCACGTGGTTAGTAAATAATGTACTTAAATGCAATAGAGTGGAATTGGGGCAAAGCTTGTATTTAGTTAGTTAATATTCTCTTCTGCATAGGGTGTTATGGCTACAGCTTTTTCCTCTCCACTTCGTTTTACAAAACATAAAGATGGAAAGGGAATGTCATAATCCTGCTATTTGAGGAGTGTTATTTTACTGAATTCTAGCTGGATTAAATTTTGTGCAAACCATAGAATGAGTTGAAATGGATATTGGTGCAGTCTGGATCTGGCCAGCAGAGCTCTTGGAGGTGGTTCTGCCCAGGAAAAGTTGGCTCGATTCACATCTGAAATTGAACTTGCTGAACTGGCTGTTGAGCAAGGAAAGGGAGGAGTTTTCTTGCTTGTAAACTGAGCACACCAGGAAGAGAAGAGTCAGGGATGACATGGCTGGACTCTGGGAATGCAGGCATGTTAAACCCTGCCTGGGGAGGCTCTGATACCACCGAGTTTGGGAGTTTGGGTTGGAAAGGACCTTAAAGCTCAGTGCCACCCTGCCATGGCAGGGACACCTTCCACTGTCCCAGGCTGCTCCAAGCCCCAGTGTCCAACCTGGCCTGGGACACTGCCAGGGATCCAGGGGCAGCCACAGCTGCTCTGGGCACCCTGTGCCAGGGCCTGCCCACCCTCCCAGGGAACAATTCCTGCCCAATATCCCATCTAAATACTTGCTGCTCTGTGGGATGTGAACAAGGCAGGACACCTGGAGGGACTCCTGAGTCATGTGCTTTTGTCTTGCTTTAAGGAGGGACTATTCTGTCTGGGCTGATCATCCGGGTTCTTGGAAAGTGTGGGATTATGTGTTTAAAGAGAGAGGAGGCTAGAGTATGCTTAATGGAGGAAAAAGTGTTTTCTCCTATCAGGAAATCCTAGTTATTTGAGATTATGTGCATAAGAACAATCTCCAAAGTGCAGATGCCCATGCAAATACTTGTATAATATCCCTTCTTCCCTATCCCATACGATGCATATTTCTGGCTGTTGTCACTCTGAACAGGAATTTCTGCATCCCCTGGAATTGCTCCAGACTTTGGGGTCAGTTGAGGATCCTGGTGTTGCCTATTTTACCTTCCTGCTTTAATGAAACACAGCCACGGGAAGGTGGTGTCCTAGTTCTGCAGCACAGAAAATAATGTCCTCTATGGGCTGTAGTGAGCTAGAAATTTGGATTTGTTCTCAGATTAGCAGGGATCAACTTGAATTAATGAGGGAAAACCTTTCTCCCCCTCCTCCCCAGGCTGATCCCGTGAGTAGCTGGAGTGTAGGAGAGAACAGCACAGAACAGTGTGTGCTAAATGGTATTTACAGTGATAGAACATTTGGGAGGGTGGGGAGAGAAAAACGTTTTGAACTCCAGAATGACCCACCAAATGCACTTGGAATTGTCAGGGCATTGTTTAGCCATCTCATTTAGTATTGCTAATTTCTTACCAATATCCATAACTACTGCTGGCGAGCTAATGACATGAATTACTGGTAAGAAATAACATTGGCCTCCAATGGGAAAGCTTTTAGTCAATTCCTTAAGTAAATCTCAGAGTGGATTTTTCTTACCTTGCAGAGTCACAAACACCAGTAGTTGGAGTCTGCACAGAACTGGGCAATGAGTGACCTGAACTGGTTTGTCTTCAGTGGCAAAATTCAGAAATGCTTTGCTGAAGAAATCTGGTTTCATTTGCATTTACAAATGACAAGTTTTCTAAAACATAGAATTCCAGAATGGTTTGAGTTGGAAGGGACCTCAAAGCCCATCCAGTCCTACCCCTGCCATGGCAGGGACACCTTCCACCATCCCAGGCTGCTCCAAGCCCCAGTGTCCAACCTGGCCTGGGACACTGCCAGGGATCCAGGGGCAGCCACAGCTGCTCTGGGCTCCCTGTGCCAGCCCTGCCCACCCTGCCAGGGAACAATTCCTGCCCAATATCCCGTCCAGCCCTGCCCTCTGGCAGTGGAAGCCATTCCCTGTGTCCTGTCCCTCCATCCCTTGTCCCCAGTCCCTCTCCAGCTCTCCTGGAGCCCCTTCAGGCCCTGCAAGGGGCTCTCAGCTCTTCTCTTCCTCTTCTCTTCCTCTTCTTTCTTCAAGAGCTCTCCCAGCCTGTCCCCAGAGCAGAGGGGCTCCAGCCCTTGGAGCATCTCCATGGCCTCCCCTGGACTGGCTCCAGCAGCTCCACGTCCTCCTGATGTTGGGGATCAAGAGCTGGACACAGTGCTCCAGGTGGGGTATAGACCCCCAAGCTAGAGCTTTTGGAAAAAGTTGAATCTTAAAAAGTTCCTAACTTGTTTTTGTTTGCAAGATGAGTCCAGTTCCATGTCCTGGATTAGCCTACTGGGCACATCTTGTGGGGTTTAGTGATCTGAAGGGCTGTCAAACCTGAAAGCGTGGTGTACCAGCTTTTATTTTTTCATGTTTTTGTCTGATCTGCAATTAATTCTTAGCTTTCCATCAAGTTGGCTTCTCCACAACTCCAAAGTCATTACCTGACAGCTCAATTCTTCATTAATCTAATGCATGAAAAAGAGCCCTTTTCTAATGGCTTCCCCCAAGGTGCCTCTTTCATGTCCTGCTGTAGGGAGGGGGTCTCTGCAGGTGCTGTGGTGGGGATGCCAAGAGTAACAGAGAAGGCTGCTCGGCCTGGTGGAGCTGAGACATCACAGTGGGCCAGGTTTGGGTGACCTCAGCTTGTGCCTCTACTGCAGTTGTGGCACAGCACGGTGACACTGAGCCTCATCACCTTGAGCTGTCCCCATATGCTGTTCCCTCAGTCAGCGACTTTGTGGGATGATTGATCTCAGGCTGAGGTCATCTTTCAAGTTCCAGATCTTGTCAATCTGTCTGGCTCCACCCACATGCAGTGATTCAGCTCCTGATGTGCTGAAATATTCACTTAAGCCTTCCCACACAGAGTAAGGGCTTTTTGTGATTCTGCTCGGAGCTGCAGCACCTCTTCTATGCTGTGCTCCAAGCCTGTGCTTTCTGCATGGTATTTGCATGTGCTTGGAGAGCTGCAGAAAGTAGAGATTGACCTCCTAAAGAGGAGAAGAGCAGCTATAATCACTCTTTAAAAGTATTTTTCCTCTAGATTTTGGATCCTATTTTATAGAATTTGGCTAATGTGCTGTGATTTAGAAAAATGGTAAAATATAGAGAGCAGCCCTGGGGAGAAGGATTTGGGGTGTTGGTGGTGAGAGGCTCAACCTGCCCTGGCCATGGGCACTGACCCCAGAAACCCCCCCTGTGCTGGGCTGAGCCCCCAGCGTGGGCAGCAGGGCAGGGGGGGATTCTGCCCCTCTGCCCCGCTCAGGTGAGACCCCACCTGCAGAGCTGCCCCAGCCCTGGGGAACAGCAGCAGGAGGACGTGGAGCTGCTGGAGCCAGCCCAAAGGAACCACGGAGATGCTCCAAGGGCTGGAGCCCCTCTGCTCTGGGGACAGGCTGGGAGAGCTGGGGGTGCTCACCTGGCGAGGAGAAGGCTCCAGGGAGAGCTCAGAGCCCCTTGCAGGGCCTAAAGGGGCTCCAGGAGAGCTGGAAAGGGACTGGGGACAAGGGATGGAGGGACAGGACACAGGGAATGGCTTCCACTGCCAGAGGGCAGGGCTGGATGGGATATTGGGCAGGAATTGTTCCCTGGGAGGGTGGGCAGGCCCTGGCACAGGGTGCCCAGAGCAGCTGTGGCTGCCCCTGGATCCCTGGCAGTGTCCAAGGCCAGGTTGGACATCGGGGCTTGGAGCAGCCTGGGATGGTGGAAGGTGTCCCTGCCATGGCAGGGGTGGAACTGGATGATCTTTAGCATCCCTTCCAACCTAAATCAGTTTGGGATAATTCTATGAGAAATTGGGGTTTGTTTGGTGGGGGAGCAGGAACATTTCCCTGTCTGCATTTACTAATCCCATCTTTAGGAGTGGATCCACAAAGGATGATCCTCATTGCAGAATAAGCATTCCAGCTCAGATGTTGTCACTTCTGCCATTGCTCACTTGACCTGGAATAAGCAGCAGTTGCAGAGTTGTTCCTGAGGGAGCTGGGAGCTGTGGTAGCACTGATGCTCTGCTGAACTTCTGTTGCTTTTTCTCCATATAGGAAACACCTTAATGGGCTGTGACACCTGGTGTGCTTTAGTTCAGTGTTCTGGAATTCCCTGTCTGTACATGGGATTCTATTGTTCTTTTTGGGGATATCTTTATTCTGTAGACTACAGATACCCAGACTGGTTTGGGTTGGAAAGGACCTCAAACCCCATCCAGTTCACCCCTGCCATGGGCAGGGACACCTTCCACTGTCCCAGGTTGCTCCAACCCCTGTCCAGCCTAGCCCTGGACACCTCTAGGGATGGGGCAGCCACAGCTTTAATGGTCAGACACCAAATAGTTACAGGTGGTACAAACATTTAGGAATGACTTTGGCTGGGAAATGGGGAAGCACCTGGACAGATGGGCTTGGAAGCAGCAAGCAAATGCCTTCTCTTTCCTCTTGTGTTTAGTGAAGTTGGTTCTTCTGCATGGTCATGTTTTGGTAAAGAAATAGAGTTGTGCTGAACAACTTCTCTGGTTTGTAGACTCATTTCCTCTGTTAATGGGAGACACAAGTCTCTTTAAGAACTGCTAATTGCTCAGGTTAAAAAAACCCCAAAGGCCACTTGGTGTCATGTGTGGAATTAAGACTCTCAGAAGAAAGTGTGAGCTAGTTCTGCTGAAAATGGAACAGATCAGAGGCACAACATCTACAAACCAGGTTTGCCAAAGTGCTTAAAATAACAACTGGCAGTTTCCCTGGGTGTTGTTGGACTCGAGTAGAAATTTCTCAGAAGGACTGAGAGAGCAGAGAGATAAAAATGGCAGTGTTGGGAGTGCAGCTCCTGAGGGGGTTTTGAAAGCCCATGTACAGGACGTGTCACTGGCTACAGAGCTGGGGATGTGGTGGCCTGTGATGGCCGGGAGTGTGTTTGGTGTTGGAACTGCAGCAAGGACATCCCTGAGGAGCCCTTCAGGTACCTGTGCCCTCCTCTTGGGGTGCTCAAGTTTGCCTGGTGGAGAGTCAGTGTTGGTCATGCCTGACTTTCCTCCATTATCTGAGAACAAAAGGAGCTCAGACAGGATGGGTTGTACCCTTCTGTCTCAAGTTATGGAAACCCCACTATTTTAAATTGTTTCAGCTTATGTTAAATATTTTGGGAAGTAAAAGGGCAAAGGGGGGGATAGCTCAGACTTGGGTTTCCTGTGCCTGTTCCTGAAGGAGAAGCTTCTCTCCTCAATAGGTGCAAACCCTCATTCCAAAAATGGTATGGAGCTGTGTCAGGAGTTGGCATGGAGCTCAGGGAAAGGTTCTTCCCCCCGAGGGTGCTGGGCACTGCCCAGGCTCCCCAGGGAATGGTCCCGGCCCCAAGGCTGCCAGAGCTCCAGGAGCGTTTGGACAGCGCTCTCAGGGATGCTCAGGGTGGGATTGTTGGGGGGTCTCTGCAGGGACAGGGATCCCTGTGGGTCTATTCCTGCTGGTATATTCAAGGATTCCATGCAATAATCCTGGAGCCTGCCAGCTCTCTGAACAGCTCATGGCATGGTGAAGGCAGGTCTGGAGTGGGAGGATTCCCAGAGCTGTGCTGATGCTGTTGGATCTGTGTAAGCACAGGAATCAGGATGGATAGGACACATCTCCATGAAATCAAGCTGTCTGGGGGGAAAACAGAAGTTGTTCCAGGTTTCTCTGCAACAGCCTGACAGAAGGAAAGGGCTGGTGGGAGTTCACAGCTGAGTCCTCTGGAGAGAAAGCAGGAGGAGAGGAAGAAGGGGCAAAGCAGGAGGAGAAGCAGTTTGTTAACTGTTTTCATTAAACTTTTTAGCATCTGGAAGATGATGAGTTTAGTTGTCAGGTGAGAGGAGGGGAAGGAATTAAGGAGACAGTTCTTTGTGGCTGTTACCTTGCTTGAAAGATCCCACAGAAGTTTCAGGTGTCCTTTTCAAAGTATCAGAATGTGAAAATCTCTGTCCATAGAAGAGTCACCAGCTTCTGCACAGGGCCAGCCCATGTGTTTTGGGGCCATGGAGAAGCAGGAGTTAATGTTTCCTGGGATCTGAAATGGGAACAGAGTGGGTGGATTGAAGGGGGGGTTTCTAGCCCAGACACTGATGGTTCTTGCAATTAAAAACAATCCCAAGCCAAACGATTGAATTAATCCCAAAGATGGTGATTGGGAAAGACAATTAACAATTATGTGTAAATGGAGAAAATTAAACTTGAGTGTCGAGCTGTGGAATGGGAATGTCTGGGCATGTGGGATCTTGGGTGAGCTGGGAATTGGTCTGTGTTTTTCCAGGGAAGGAGTGTGCTGGGCCAGCACGGCCAGAGAAGGTTTTTTAAAGTCCTGGCTGTGGAAGGGCTCTGTAAAGCCCTGGCCCAGCTTGGACAAAGGGGTTGGAGGCAGCTGCTTGGCAGTGAGCCATGGAAGGGACATCCATGGCAGCAGGGACCTGCTGTGGTGGTGACCTGCTGTTGTGGGGAAGGTGACTGGGATCCCTGGTCCGGGGGTATCCAGGCTGTTGAGGTGTTTGTGGTTCTGTCAGGCAGAACCAGGTGACGCTGCTGCTGAGCATGAGCAGCAAAATTGGGGGTTGGAACTCGACAGTCCCTTCCACCCAAAAGGGCTCTGGCACCCCGTGAAATAGAAGCTGAAGATCCAAGGGGAACTGGTGAGGGGGAAGACAGATTTTACGTTTTCTTAAGTTTAGTAACTCGGCGAGCAGGAGGAATTCAGCGGTCCCAGTGCGGCGGGGCTGTGCCATGGCTCTGTCCCCGAGTGCCTGCAAGGGGCGGGGGGAGCCGCTGCCCGGTACCGGGAGGAGCTGCCGCGCCTCCGGTCCCTGCGGGGTCGAGCGGTACCCACGGACCTGCTCGCTCCCCTCTGCTGAGTGACGGTGGCAGCGGTGGCACTGCGGGGCTGTCACCTCCGCGCCGATTGCCTCCCGCCTCCCTCGGTTTCGGCGGCGTTTTTCAGGCAGCTCAGCCCCGGCTCCGCGATGGGAACAGCCGTGTCTGAGCTGCGGATTGGGGGGAGGGCGGCGGTGCCGTGCGCCGGGGATGCTCGAACCCCTCGGGATGTTCGATACCCGCCTCTCAGCCATGGTCGGGGTTCCCTTCGGATTCCTGGAACCTCTCGGGATGCTCAAAACGATCGCGATGCTGGAGTGCCTCTGGAACGCTCAGTACCCCCTGTAATTTTAGGAGACCCCTCCGAGGACGCTCGGATCCTTCCCGGGATGTTCGGAGCTGCCCGGGATGCTCAGAACGCCCCAGCGATGCTCGGACCCCTCCCATACCCCTGCGATGCCCCTTGCCCCACGCTCGGGCCCCCCCGGGATGCTCAGACCCCCCAAATGCTGGAACCCCTCGGGCCGGCCCGGGCCGGGGTCGCGGCTCCGCGGGGAGGGCGGGGCCCGCAAGGGCGTGGTCTGGTGGGCGGGGCCGCGGCGGGAGGGCCCGAGCCGGAGGGCGGGGCCGTAGCGCGCATGCGCGCGGCGGGCGCGGCCCGGCCCATCGCCGGGCGGGGCGGGGGGCGCAGGGAGGCGGCGGCGGCGGCCCCGGGCAGCGGCACCGCCCCGGCCCCGGCCCGCTGCGCTCCGCGCCCGCTCCGCGCCATGCCCGGCTCCATGTACCAGCCCGAGCCCGGGCAGCCGGCCCGCGGCCCGCCGCGCTGCCTCACCCTGCTCAGCCCGCCGCCGCCCGCCGGGCAGGACCCGCCGCCGGAGCCCGAGCCCGGCCGGGAGCGGGAGGGGCCGCCGGGGCCGCCGGCGCAGGGCGAAGCCGCCGCGCTGAGGTTCGCGCTGGACCAGCTCTCGCTGCTGGGGCTGGAGGGCGCGGAGGAGCCGGCGGGGGGCGCGGGGCCGGGCGGCCTAAGGGAGCGGGAGCGCGGCGGCGGCGGCTCCCCGGTGCCGGCCCCCGCCCCGGCCGCGGGCGCCTTCGGCAGCCTGGCCCCGCCGCTGGGGCCGCCCGCGCTGCTGCCCGAGCCGCCCGCGAACAGGAAGAAGAGCGTGAACATGACCGAGTGCGTGCCCGTGCCCAGCTCCGAGCACGTCGCCGAGATCGTGGGCCGGCAAGGTAACGCGGCGTGGGGACACGGCGGGACACGGGCACCCCCCTCCCTCGCGCCGGCCCGCCGCGATTCGGGGCAGTTTCGGGGCTTTGTCTCCGTGCGGAGGCGGAAACTCAACGGCGACAGCTCCCGCGGCCCCGAAAGTCGGCCGCGGGTCCCGGGAGCTGCGCTCCGCGCCGGTCCCACCGAACTGCCTGGAAATAGCAATGAAACTCCATCGACCCGGGTGGGGTAACGCCGGGTGCTCACGGAAAGTTCCCGGGAGCCACGCGAGTCCATGGGAGCTGGCAGGACACGGAGCGAGGCGAGGGCTTTGCTTTCATTGTAGTTGTGCCTCTGCCCCCTCCCCTCCAGCTCCGTATCTCAAACCCGGTGTGTAAACGGTGCCCCTCATCTCCGACTTCGTATACAAATCCTCCTGATAAACCCGATATAAACGGTCATTAACCGGCTCGTCTGTAGGTGGCCGGAGCTCCGCAGGCAGCCGAGGAGCCCCTCGCACCCAGCTGTCACAAAGGGACGCCCCAGCCCCCGCCGGGTGGGTGTGCCTGGAGTGGGCTTTGTCTCCAGGACATACCAAATAAACCAAACTTTCACCTTGAAAAATCAAAAAGAAAATACCTAGGGCGGAGGATTTAGGGAATAAAAAGGAAAAGGAAGAGAGCAGCTGCCCGCAGGGATCCCGGCAGGAATCCCCTGGCAGGGAGCGTGACCTCCGGGGTGTTTTGCCCTTGTGGGCTCTGGCACCCCAGCCCTGCCCTCGCCCGGCGGCTCCCAGCCCTCCGTGCCCGGGGGGCTGCGGGTCGGGGGTCGGGGGGCTTTTTTTCCAGGGGGGAAGCGGGGAACTGGGCAGGCTCATTGTTCTCTTTGTTAGCCAGAGCCATGCTGTGATGAGCGCGGTGACATCATGCTCTGCGCTTCCCATTGGCCTGCGCTGCCTCCCAGCCGGCCCCGCTTCCCGGCCTCCCAACTTTCCGTGCACCCCTGTGCGGTCCCAGCCCCCGGCGGGGGGTCCCCCCGGGCTGCCGGACCCCGCCGGGTCGGGCGAGCGGCGGGGCAGAGACAGGGGAGCGGAGCGTGGCACCGCGCCCTGCTCCCGAGGATTCTCCTCCTCCTCTTCCTCCTCCTCCCGGGCTGCATGGACACCTGGCTTTGGTAGCCTCGCCGAGCTCTGCGGAGCCACGGGGTCCGGCGGCTTGAGAGCGAACCTGGCCGGGGGCTGGGCTGTGCTGGGAACCCGCTGGTTCTGCCGGGGAATGGCTGCGTTCGGCCCGGGAGCTGCCGGTCGGTGCCTTCCTTTCCCTGGGTGTTTGAGAGTGGTGAGACCTCGGTGCTGCCCCTCCAGCACCCCGAGGAGTTTGGTGCACAGCCAGGTACCTGCCCAAACACCTTGGTGGAGTTCGGGTGCTCGCTGAGCTTCACGGGCTTGTGAAACTTTTGAAAGAAATACTGCCAAAGGAATTATTATATTGGTTTGAGGAGGGGTGCTTGAGGAGCACAGTGTGGGCTCGGAGGTGACCTGGGGCCAGCCGTGAGCTGCAGCCCCAGCCCATGAGGAGGAGCAGCCCTCTCCAGGGGTTTCCTCTTGTGTTTCCTGCCCCTCTCCTGCTCTTGGCCTGCTGGGATGCAGTGTGGTGGCCTTGCACTGGGTTTCTTTTGGGGAGGGGCACTCAGCACTCTCGATCACATTGTGGGATCGGGCAGCACGGGGCTGGCAGCAGCGTCTGTACTCCAGCTCCTCTCTGTATCACTGGCAGCTGGATTACAGCAAGGATGCTCAGGTGTAGCCTGAGCAACACCGAGCTTATTCCTCGGGGCTCACACAGAGCAGAGCCCTTCTCACCCACCCGGTGCTGCCTCCCAGGTCCTTCTGGTTCCCAGCTCCCCGCTGCGAGTCTCCCTCAGTGTTGGCAGCCCCATAGCAGTGGGGTCTGGCTGTAGAGCTGAGCTTTGGGATGTTTGGCTGGACTATCCTCATTGTGGTATATCGACAAAATGTGCCCCGCTGGTGACACTGCCCTGTCACTCTTGTCTTTCCTTCACTGCCCAGCCTGGTTATGACCCAGGGAGCAGGAATTTGTGCTGCTGTCATACCTGGAACATAGAAAGGGATGAAGATGTGCATCTCGGGTGCCCTGGAAAGGGCTGGAGTCAGGGCAACGCTCAGGATCTCTCCCACACACCTTGGGGCACTTTGGGAGCTGTCCTGCTTTGCCCAGACCTGGCCACTGTGGCAAGTGGGGACCAGGAACACATGGATGTCCTGTCCTGTGCAGGCTGAGATGGGACACAGGCAGTTGGACACAACTTCTGCTCCTTTTCTTCAGTTTCTCTCCTCCAGATATCCTAATTTAACCCTTTCACAAAGGAGCAGCAGCAGTCCATCAGGTAAATCTTGGTTCTCTGAATCAAATTGGTGTTTTCTTCCCTGAGCTGGAGGAATGTTTGTCATGACCCCATGTCCAGATTGACATCAGTGACACCGTGGAGCAGCATCTGCCTGATGGGATCTGCAGCTCCTCTCCCCCCCTGCCCACACGGCTGCGTGGCCGGGCGGGATTCCCTGGCTGTGCCTTCGCCTGCAAGCCTGGTCATGACTCCTGCTGTGGGAGGGACCATCTCCAAAAAGTGCCGTGGGCATGGATTGGAGCAGCATGGGCTCATGTTGCCATCCTGCAGAGAGAGCCATGGGGATAACAGGAGTCACCAGGAGCACGGGGCAGGTGTTAGAGCTGCCCTGACTCTGGCACATGGGCTGGTGTGGATTCCTGCTGCCCCAGCTTTGGAGGGGCATTCCAGCAGCGTCTACTCTCCCCTCCCACACCAGGCACCTCCCATGAGATGGAGCCACAGCTCCTCTCCCCATCTGTGACACTCAGGGACTGTCACAGCTCTACAAAAGGAAAGTTGCTGTTTATAGAAGATGCTGAGATGCTCGAAGGGTAGATCCAGGGAAGGATGGCACATGGCACCTCTCCTCGCTGCTGGAGTGTGGCTGGCATTCCAGTGCTGAGAGGATGCACAGAGTGACCATGGGCCTCTCTGGGTCAGCCTGGGCACCTGTAACCTCACCATGGATCACAGGGGTGCAAGGAATCCTCTCATTTCAGAGCCCTGGGTTGCTGCTCTCTGTTGTCTCCTGCCCAGGTGCCATGTCCTTGGAGGCACCTGGCACATCCTCCTGGCTGCCTCCTCCCAGCTGGGCCATAGCAGAGCTGAGAACTCCTGAGCTTGGTCACACAGATGGATCTGATTGCTGAAGGATCTGCCTGTACATCTGAGAGCTGGCACTGGCTGCACACTGTGTCCCAAGGAGAGGAGCCCAGCCTCCCTGCCCTGCTCTTCAGTGTCTGGAGGAGAAGCCAAGGTGTGATGTGTTCACTTCCTGCAGCAGGGATGAGTTTGTTCCCTGTGCAGAGTTGGGAAGGAGCACTCAGCACGGGGAGAGGAGCTGTGATGGATATGCAGCATTTTCTCCTCCATGCCTGGCCCCAGTCCTGGCCCATCCTGTGCCGTTCACTGGAAACGAAGGGGACTGGGAGCTCCAGAACTCTGGATCAGAGGCCAGGAGATGCTGCAGAGCTGGGGAAGAGGAAGAGCCCTGGGTAGGGCACTCCAGGGGCGAGGCACCAGAGGGTTCCCAAGCCTGTGACCGACAACATCCTCCTGCCTGCTGCCATCAGACGCTCCTCCAGAAAAGCTCTTCTGGCACTTTTTTGGTTTCACCAGCTCAGAGCTGGGCATTGCCAGCACAGACCTCCTTGGCCAAGCAGAGATGTGGTCTGGGCAAGGGGATGAGCTGTCTCTGTCCTCCTTGTGTGCAGGAGGCAGCTGATGGGGGAGCAGAGGCTGCCCAGGCTGGGCTGGGATCAGGGTGTGGATGAGCTGCGTGGGATCCATCACCTCCAGTGTGGGCATTGGAGCACAGAGGATGGAGAGGCTCTTCCCAGCCCTCTCTCCCGGTGCTGTACTGGTTTTCATGGGCTCTTGCAGTGGTCTCAGCCCTGATTTGTCTGAGGCTTCTTGCAGAATGCCAAGTTTTCTTTGGTGATGCCAAGTGGGCATGTCCAGGGAGAGCAGCCACCTTTCCTAGGGTGCTGCCTCCATCATCACCGTTATCCCGGGGAGAATTCCCTGGGATTCTGTTTCTTGTCAGAAATTACCAGTGTCCCATCCCAAGGACAGGCGGGATAGGTTCAGCCAGGGCAGTTTTGCAGAGTGGAGTGTAAAGGGAGCCGTGTGGGATGGGGAAAGGGTGAAAGAGGAGGGCATAGAGTTGAGACAGTTTGGGAAGAGTGTCCTGCTCACCCCCCATCGGGGCTGTTACTGCAGGCAGAGCTGGGTGCGGTGGCACAGGAGGCTGTGACTTGCAGGGTGGGGGGTCAGACCTTTGAATGCTGGGGTTTGCTGGCAGCTGAGGGTGGCTGTGGGGTGTCAGGATGAGTTTGAGACTCAGAGTTCCACCAAAGAGATGTAACACAGCAGCTGAGCCACTCTGAGGCTCTGGTGAGACCTGGGCTCTGGTGTTCACAAAGGGCTCTTGGGGCTGAAGCACGCCTGGGTGTGTTCCCTCCATCCTGCCTCTGGTTTTGGGCTGGTTTTATCTGGACTTTTAAAGCTGCTTCGATGAAGACTTGGAGCAAAGTCTGGCACTTTGTTAAGCTCTGTTGCCGTTGGTGCTGCACAGCAGCCCTGGGCCACGGGAATGTGTGGATGCCACCTGCTGCTGCTGGGCTGAGGTGTGGCACTGCCTGGGCTGGCACTTTCAGGAGCTCCAGGTCCCTGCCACATCTGGCACGACCCTGATCCTACAGCAGCTTCACGGGGGTGTGGCCATCCAGGCTGGTGTCACAACGTGCTGGGGTGGAGGTTTGCAGGGGCTCATCTGAAATGTCTCGTACTGCTCTGGATCATTCCAAGTACAAGAACAATGTGGAGCTGCTGGAGCCAGTCCAGGGGAGGCCACGGAGATGCTCCAAGGGCTGGAGCCCCTCTGCTCTGGAGACAGGCTGGGAGAGCTGGGGGTGCTCACCTGGAGAGGAGAAGGCTCCAGGGAGAGCTGAGAGCTCCTTGCAGGGCCTAAAGGGGCTCCAGGAGAGCTGGAGAGGGACTGGGGACAAGGGATGGAGGGACAGCACACAGGGAATGGCTTCCACTGCCAGAGGGCAGGGCTGGATGGGATATTGGGCAGGAATTGTTCCCTGGGAGGGTGGGCAGGCCCTGGCACAGGGTGCCCAGAGCAGCTGTGGCTGCCCCTGGATCCCTGGCAGTGTCCCACGGTTTTGGAGCAGCCTGGAATAGTGGGGGTGTCCCTTCCCATGGCAGGGGGTGGAACAAGACTAACTCTGAGGTCCTTTCCAACCCAAACTGTTCCATGATTCCCAGCTGCAGTTGCTGGATAAACCCCCAGGTTACAGTTCAGGTCCATGTGGCTCTCGGGGGTTAAGCCACGAGGTGCCATCCTCAGGGGCAGCCCTGGCTCAGCCCCTCAGGGGTGCAGGTGTGCTGCAGGACAGGGGTGTCCTGCTGGGAGGTTGTGTTTGTGTCCCCTCAGCAGTTCCCGGTGTCCCAGAGCCATCGCTCGCTGTGCTGGGCGGGGCTCAGCACTCCTGTGCAGGGGAGGCTGCAGCTCATCCTGCCCATCCTGCCCCCTGCAGCCTTTGGGACCTTTGCCTGGCAGTCCCTGCGGCCAGGGGCTGCCTCAGGAGGAGTTTGGACCTGGGGACAGGGCAGGACAGATTGGTCCCCTGGTGTGTCCCGATGCTGGAGACTCCTCCAGGCTCAGTTCCTGGTGCTGGTGCCAGCACATGGCCTCAGGCAGTGCCTTCCCTGGCCGTGCCTCCCTTCCCAATTCTCCCTGGTTCTGGGACAGGTGGGGGTGACCCCACCCCCACCACACCCCAACTCTTCCATATGTGCCATCCTCTCCTACCCCTCCCCAGGGATACCCAGCTCCCACTCCAGCTGTGTTTGGTGCCATCCATGGCCCTGGCAGCATCCAGCAGCCATGGGCTGGGGACATTATTCCTGTGCTGCTGGTTTGAGGAGGGTGGAACTGGCCAAGCCAGGCACCCCTTTGATTTTTATCCAAGGTTTCTGGCTTTGTCCCTGTGAAGAGCTCACAGAAGCAGCCAGACAAACTCTTCCTCTCTTTAGTGCTGACATCATTTGGGTCCCACTGGTGTTGCTGGTGTGAGGAAGAGCCTCACTGGGCCATGTCCCCCATGGGATGTGGCTCCTGAGTGGCTTCTGTGTGCAGCTCCTGGAGCTGCCAGTGGCTTTGCATCCTGAAACTGCCACTTGGTGAGGATTGAGATGGAGCTCAGGGAAAGGTTCTTCCACCCGTGGGTGCTGGGCACTGCCCAAGCTCCTCAGGGATGCTCAGGGTGGGACTGTTGGGCTGTCTGTGCAGGAATAGGGGCTGGACTCCATCTTGGTGAGTCCCTTCGAAGCTGGGATATTCCATGATTCCGTGATGCCGCAAAGGATGAATTTGGGACCTTGGGCATGAGGCTGGTGCCCATGGGAGGCACCAGCAGAGCCTCTTCCCACTGCCCTGGGCTTGTCCTGGTTTGCCAAGCAGTGGAGCAGGGGCAGATCTTACAGGATAAATCTGGGAGGGGAACGTGGGAGTTGTAGGCACCTCTGCCAGGACAGCCCTATAGGAGCTGGCACATGATAATAATTCAGTAAATGTCACCTTCCATGGTTCTGCCCTGCCCCAGTCCTTGGGCCATTGCTTTGCTGTGTGCCCCAGCCATAAATCCACCTGCCAGGGGTTAGTGGTGCAGAAGGGCCTGGCTGTGACACCCAGGGCAGCTCCTGCTGCTCTCTGACAGTTTTTTACTTCTTGTCATCCACGAGGCTCAATGCCCTGGGAATTGCAGCACACCTGGGGCTGCAGGAACAGCACAGCTCCTCTTCTCCCTCTGCTCTCCAGGTGCTGCTGGAGAGCCTGGATTGATTTACCTGGCTGGGACAGACCTGACTCAACTTGTGCCATTCCAGCCCTGGCTGAGTCACAGAATCCCAGAATGGTTTGTTTTGGGGGGGATACTAAAGCTCATCCAGTGCCACCCCTGCCATGGCAGGGACACCTTGCACTGTCCCAGGCTGCTCCAAGTCCTGTCCAACCTGGCCTTGGACACTGCCAGGGATGGAGCAGCCACAGCTGCTCTGGGCACCCTGTTTCACTGTAGTGGGTTGATGCTGGCTGGTTCCAGGCATCCCCTGCATGCTGCTCCGTCACTGCCCTCCACAAGTGGACAAGGGAGAGAAAATAAAACAGAGGGTTCATGGATTGAAATAAAGGCAAGGAAAGATCCCTCACCCAATATTGTGAAGGGCAAAACAGACTCAACTAGATTCAACTAATTGAATTCATTATTAACAAAATCAGAGCAAGATCATAAGAAGTAAAGTAAATCTTAAAAATACCTTCCCCTTACCCCTCCCTCCCTCCTTCCTGGGCTCTCCCTCCACCCTCCAGCAGCGCAGGGAGATGGGGATGGGGATCACAGTCAGTTTATCCCACATTGTTCCTGCTGCTCCTCAGGGAGAGGAGTTGGAGCCTTTCCCTGCCCCAGTGTGGGGTCCCTCCCGTGGGACACAGGTCACACAGTGTCCCAGCCTGGGTCCCCCTCAGGGTCACAAGTGTTTCTAGCAAACCTGCTCCAGCATGGGCTCCTCTTTCCATGGGTCTGCAGGTCCCTGCCAGGACCCTGCTCCAGATCAGGCTTCCCACATGGTCACACCTTCTTCGGGCATGTCCCTGCTCCAGCATGGGCTCCTCTGGGGTTGCGGGTGCATCTCTGCACCCCTGTGCACTTCCATGGCCTTCACCATGGTTTTCCCCAGAGGCTGCAGGGGAATCTGCAGTGCCTGGAGCAGCTCCTGCCCCTCCTCCTGCCGTGTCCTGGGTGTCTGCAGAGCTGCTTCTCTCACATCTTCTAACCCTGCTCTTCTCTAGACCCAATTACAACTGCACAAGACCTTTTATCCTTCTTAAATCCATGATCCCGAGGTATCCCCACCATCTCTGCTGGGCTGGGCCTTGGTCAGTGCCAGGTCCATCCTGGAGCTGGCTGGAATTGGCTCTGCTGGACACAGGAGAAGCTTCTGGCAGCTGCTCACAGAAACCACCCCTGTAACTTCACTGCTACCAAAACCTGACTACAGAAACCCAGTACTCCCCACCCTCCCAGGGAACAATTCCTGCCCAATATCCCATCCAGCCCGGCCCTCTGGCAGTGGAAGCCATTCCCTGTGTCCTGTCCCTCCATCCCTTGTCCCCAGTCCCTCTCCAGCTCTCCTGGAGCCCCTTTAGGCCCTGCAAGGAGCTCTCAGCTCTCCCTGGATCCTTCTCCTCTCCAGCTGAGCACCCCCAGCTCTTCCAGCCTGTCCCCAGAGCAGAGGGGCTCCAGCCCTTGGAGCATCTCTCTGGACTCTCTCCAGCAGCTCTGCATCTTTCATGTGCTGAGGCCCTTCAGCCTTCAAGGCCTCTCCTTCTCCAGCCTCCCAGCTGGAAGAGCAGCCCTGCCCTTCCTCAGGGAGCGTCTGGGAAGAGGAGGAGGGGAAGGAGTGCCCTGAGCTGTTCACAGAGGAGCCAGGCAGGCACTGGCAGCTGCTCGGCTGTGCCCGGAGGAGTGGAGCTGTTTATCCACAGGATCTGCAGCAGCCATGGACGGGGACAGCTCAGAGCTCCCATGGAACATCTTCCATCCCTGCTAGCTCCCAGCTTTGTGTTGGATGCTCTGCAAAGCTCAAGGGTGGGAGGGGGCAGACAGGGGTCATTCACTGCTGTGTGCCAGTGGCCACTGAACTCGGCTCCACTTGCACTGTGCCTGGTTCACAGGGATTTAATGAAGAGTGGATGCAATTACGGCTGGGGTGCAGGGAGTGCAGCTGGCCTGGCAGCCACAGACTACTCCTCTGGAGCAAAGCAAAGTGGCCCTGGAGGAGAGTTGGAGTCTTTTGCCCTAGAGGAGAGCAGGAGCCTTTGGCTGGATGATGCTGCCAGGACCTGCAGGCAGAGCCCAGCTGGGCCAGGACAGGGCTGTGCCCAGGGCAAAGGCAGAGCTGCAGCACCATCTCACAATCCCACAGCCAGCCATGGGCAGCTCTGCCTGCTGAATCACCTTCCTCCTGCTGGGGAAGCAGAACAGAGAGAGTAGGAGCCCAGAGAGACCCCTGCCCCAGCCTAGGCACTGGGGATCCCTCCCGTGGCACGAGGAGGGGAGGTGGTGGCTCTGGACCTGCAGGATCCAAACAGCTTCTTCCTTTCCATCTTGGCATCTTTTTTCTCCTTGTACCTCCTTACACACCTCTGGAGTGAATCCAGTTTCTCACCTGCTCAGTGGCCCTGATAGTGCCCCCATGGCTGCCTGTCCTGGCACCTCTGCCCACGCCTGTCCCACCCCTCTGGAGCAGGGCTGCAGTCTGCATCCTGCTGATCCCCAACCCTTGAGGGTCAGAGCAGTGCCAGGAGCTGGGAGAAGTCAGGGCAGCCCCCCTGAGCCAAGAGCTCTCATCTGCCTCGGAGGCAGGAGGGACCCCTCTCTTAAAGAGTGTCCCTGTTGCAGATGCTGAGCCAAAGGGACCTGATTCCTGCTGGTCCACTGTGTCCCATCCTGGGCGAGCAGAGGGTCACCATGATGCCTCAGCACTGATGTGTCATTTTCTCCCCTTCTCCTTGCCCTGCAGGCTGTAAAATCAAAGCCCTGCGTGCCAAGACCAACACATACATCAAGACACCGGTCAGGGGCGAGGAGCCCGTGTTCATCGTCACTGGCAGGAAGGAGGACGTGGAGATGGCCAAGCGGGAGATCCTCTCGGCCGCCGAGCACTTCTCCATGATCCGGGCCACGCGCAACAAAGTCAACGGGCTGGCAGGGGCCATGCAGGGGCCCCCCAACCTGCCGGGCCAGACCACCATCCAGGTGAGGGTCCCCTACCGCGTGGTGGGGCTGGTGGTGGGACCCAAGGGAGCCACCATCAAGCGCATCCAGCAGCAGACGCACACGTACATCGTGACGCCCAGCCGGGACAAGGAGCCCGTGTTCGAGGTGACGGGCATGCCCGAGAACGTGGACCGGGCGCGCGAGGAGATCGAGGCGCACATCACCATGAGGACAGGCTCCTTCATCGACGTCAACGCCGACAACGACTTCCACTCCAACGGCACCGACGTGTGCCTGGACCTGCAGGGCAGCGCGGCCGCCCCGTGGGCCAAGGCCCCGCACCCCGCCCAGCGCCCCTCGGCCGCGCTGCGCAACGACAGCCTCAGCTCCCTGGGCAGCGGCTCCACCGAGTCCTTCTACAGCGGGCGGGTGGCGGCCGCCAGCCCCACCAGCCCCTACAGCACCTTCAGCGAGCCCCCGGCCCCGCTGGGCTCCGACGAGTGCGACTTCGGCTTCGACTTCTTGGCCCTCGACCTCACCACGCCCACCACCACCATCTGGTCGCCCTTCGAGCGCTCGGGCAACCCCCTGCAGGCCTTCAGCAGCTGCTCCTCCATCAACAGCTCGCAGAGACGCAACAGCGGCCCGGCCACGCCGCGCCACTCGCCCACCCTGCCCGAGAGCGGGGCGGCGGGGCTGGAGCACCCCTCGGCGCGGCGCATCCCCAGCGACCCCGCCGGCGCCCTGGCCTGGCTGCCCACCCAGGGCTCGCTCTCCTCCTTCTCCAACAGCACCGGCTACTCCTCCTCCTCCTCGCTGCCCGGCAGCATCTCGGCCGCCTCGGGCTCGCCCACCGACTCGAGCAGCTCTGACGGGCACCGCAAGAGCTCCCGGGAGTGCATGGTGTGCCTGGAGAGCGAGGTGATGGCCGCGCTGGTGCCCTGCGGCCACAACCTGTTCTGCATGGAGTGCGCCCTGCGCATCTGCGGCCGGGCACAGCCGCAGTGCCCCGCGTGCCACGTGCCCGCCACCCAAGCCATCCACATCTTCTCCTAGCCCGGGGGCTCGCTCGGTGCCCCCTCCACCCCAACACCACGGCGTTTTAAGGACTTTATACTCTTTAAATGGAGCTTTTTATTTAATTACAGAAGTGATGGGTGCACGGGGCGGGGAGGGGGGAGAGGCGTTGGCGAGGAGCTGGAGAGGCGCAGAGGGCACGGCGGGGGCGGGGGGAGGCCAAATCGGGGGGGGGGGGGGGGGGGGGGCGAAGGGGCCGAAGAAGAAGAAGAAAAAGACGACAAGGATGAGGATGAGGAAAGAGGGGCGTGAATTCCGCGAGGAGGAAACTCCGATGTTTACAGAATAGCTTTAACTCTTACCTGGCTGTGGGGCTGGGTAGGGAGCCCGGCTGTTCTCCACCAGTCCTTCCCAAATACCAGTATTCCGTTTGCAAACTGAAATAACCAGAAAGAAAAGGTCCGGTTGCACTTTTTATTTTAGGACACGCAAGGGTTGTCTTTTATTTTTTTAAAATCATTCTATTATTATTATAATAATTTTTTGTGGTTCTTTTTGTATGTAGGTTTTTTTTTTTTTTTTT